ACGGTAAGGAAACTTTTTATCACACTAAAATGATCTGCAATGCTTTTATGCAGCTAGGTGGTACTGTCAGTTTGGCTAGCAGATCAGTCGATACAGAAAACAGTTATCAATATATGATACGTTATTGCAGATAAATCGCCATTTTAAAAATCTCAGGGGATGGGGATGACTAACAGTATGCCAAGAGTTCATTTCGGGATTGCTGCTTCGGCCGACATCGTCGGCCGCTCGGCATGAAGCGCAGCACTTATTGAGCGCATTGAGATGTCTTTTCTCGCCTACTGCGCGCTATAAGATGCATTCCTTAGTCAAAGCCAGATGCTTATTTGAACGCTGATCTCGATCAAGCTGCACTGCACGGGAGCACATAGACAATACAGTCAGACATAAACAGCGCCTAATAAAAACCCTGCGCTTGTTTAACGCTCTTCTTCCTTGGAGTGCCGTCCTGGCGCACAGTTTGACCAAGACAAACGAAATTGCACTCGTCCAGCGGTTCGTGAAAACTTACTCTTGAGTGAAGCTTTTGCCTTTTTTTCATATAGTAGTAAGACGGTAAGTTGGGCCAGTTGGTTACGATCCATCGTGAACTTACTTACAGCGCAACACCAGACAAAAAATACAGGACAGGGAAGGAGCAAAAGAGAAGCGCCGTCTTTTCTTTCTCTTTTGCTCCTTCCCTGTCCTGTATTTTTTGTCTGGTGTTGCGCTGTAAGTAATTTCGTCATATATATGAGTGCAATGGCCGGCGCTCATCACGTATGGCAGGTAGATTTGACCCACGCGTTCCCATAATATCTTTGATAAGCACACCTGCGTGACAATTTATGTCTCAATATAATGTTGACACCAAATTTATGCTTAAGCTTTTTTTAGTGAGGATTGTACACACGTATCTGTGATGACATGGTTTTCGCACATTCTGGCTTGAACGTTCTGTATTCAAAGGCTGCCTGTCGCTGTGACTTCACAGCCGCGGCCCACCTGAATTTTCTTTCTTCATTTCATGGCAATCGATACATGCGTTTGCCTTTCACGCTCGAGTTGGAACAGCCAACGGCTGAACAACCGACCATGGTTTTATCAGGACGAAGATAAACGGACGACAGCGCGCGCAAATCCCGAATAACCTGAGGCTTGCGGCGAAGTCGTTCACCGTCGTCTACTCTTCTCAAACCGGAAGCCGGTAGCAGACGGTGCATCCTACAATCCTTCGCTCTTTTACTGGTCACCAATTGCTGGTTTTTCAAGCTACACTAGTATGCTGTCCTTTCCCTATAGCCACGATACAACGCGCGTTGCACCCTTTTACCCGCCTCAGTAGAAAAAAAAAAGAAAAAAAACTGACGGCACTTGTGCTAGTTCCAACCTATTTAAACGCGTTCCGCTAGGGATATGGTGAAGAGAAACCACACACTAGGGTGAATCCAGCCACTCATTTTAATGACAGGAGAGGGTCGTTTGAAGTAACACCGGAGAGGGGGGCGGGGTGATCGTTCGTACTAACACAAAAACCCCTCTAAGAGCATGAATTCAGTTAATACGTGCTCACAGTGGTCACACTCATTAGTCCTAATTGGTGATAAGCGATTTGTAGCAAGGACTAGAGGCGGTAATCACACATGTTTTAGGGATGAGGGGGGGGGGGGATAGCCAGTACTATGCCCCCTTTTGGATCCACCACTGAATGCAGGAGAATGCCCTAATACGAGTTCAGACAGACCAGCAAGCAAAATTTGCTTGCGCGCTTGAAATTGGTGCAGAGAAGCATCTTTGAAATCAGCCTTGCTGTAAACACCGCGGAGGTAGTATAATGCACTCTTTCGTGCTCAGTGTCAGAAGCTCTGGACATTGCATGGCTTTTTTCCATAGCAGCCACTCAGTCGAATTTCAGTCTCATTCATGCAGGTGTCCTGGGCTACTGACGAAGCTGCATGCTACGCTTTGAGTTTTTTGTCAAAAAATATGCGTTAGTCTTACCGCGTGGCTTGAGCTTTGAAAATCATGTAGGTCATGCCACCTACAATCGTGGTAACACCCTATTAGACACTTTTAGTTGGGCGTACAAGGAAGATGCGTACGCTGAGAAAATTACGTTGCGTACACTGCAAGCTGAAGCGTGCAACGAAACTTTCAGTTTAATGTACCTTGATGCACTTTACTCAACTTGATAAGGCGTATTTGAGATGCGAGGATTTGGAATGTTTATCAGCGTGACCCACGCTAGAAGTATGCTTGCTAGGTCCCAGTAAAATAACGTGGCCTTTGTGATCTACGCGAAAAAACGTGCTAACGGTCAAGGTAAAGGACACCAGCGTACAACTCAGGCCGTGGCGTTCACTGTGCAGATTTTCAGCATCGTTTCTGGGTGCACTGAATGCGCACGTTGACCTTTTCTGTTTTAAATTTGGGTGTGCAGTGTAAAAACGGCGTCTGACCGGGCACTGGACCAACTCCAGCGTTATATCCAGCGCTGCTGTGGATGAGGCCTAGCGTACCCTGCAGCAAGTGGTCGCGTTCCAGGTATTCATGGCCTTACGATTACCACGGGCACATTTAAGGAGTGAAAGCTCGCACAACGTCGAAAGGTGTCTTATGTTGCGCCATGAATGAAAATAGGTACCAAGCTGCCATTTTGTTTACGGGTTCATTCGCAGAGACGCTTGGCAGAAAAAGACGCGTTCCCGCACACAACCTATCGAAGGCCATTCTTGAAGATTTTCGTGAGACACCAGGCCATTTTTTCTGAATCATCAAGATGCCGGAACGCGCCGCTTGAATTTATCTTGTCTGGCATGAAGACATTGCTTTTCATTGTGACGAACACTACTCACGGATTGAAACAAGACACTCGTTGCGCGTGGCCGCCGGTGCATGTGCCACCACTCATGGGCGTTCGCGGAACCAGGCTGTAGAATTGTGGCATAGAGTGAGGGAGAGAACACCTACAGAGCAGGATTACTCCTTCCGGTCGCTAAAGGGTCGGTATTTAGTTCACAAAGCGCACACTGTGAGCGTAGTGGTGCAAGGCCCACGCGTTTTCGCAAGGAGCTCGAATTGAGTGGACGGTGCGCACCATTTGAGCAGATGACTATCTCGATCGGCACCCTTTGACGATGAGGCACGTAGGCTGCGCAAGTAAGATATGAAATACAGCTAAAATATTGCGCCTGACATGTGCTCATAGACGTGATACACAGCTGCACAAAAGCAGTTTGTCCTGCTTTCTGTCGCGACGAAAAGGGAAAGCAGCAGCCACGGGCCTGTTTTTGCACCAATAAAACAATCACTTCTTATTTTGTTGTGTCGCCCCGAGCAGCAAATATTGCGGCTATTCTGCGTGGCAAGTTCTTGTAAAGCTGCCGGTCACAGAAGAACGAGCTAGCTTCTGCCATATTTATTCAACAATAGGCCACAGTTTTCCCTAGCGACAATAACACATTAATTTTATGTTGCCTGAAGTCAAGCCACCTGAAGTCAAGCCTGTTACTCAATTTCTTTCTTGTCGAGGCAGAAAGCATGAAGAAAACTTTCAATGTTTTATGCAGGTGTTTATCAAGTATACGAACGCACGCTAGGTGCATCCTCCTAACTGAATCTTGTGTCTCACTTGCACAAATTGCGTATAACGCATTGCCTCAGTACGCAGAACGAGAGGGTCGTCCGCTGGCACCGCAGTTAAAGTGGTGCGCAGCAGTGAGCTAGTGCAGTCGACATACAAATGTGCGTGAGTCTTGCAGTACCACACTGGCAGTATGCACATGGTGCGACCGGAAGGAGTAATCCTGCTACGTAGGTGTTCTTCCCCTCTATACCAGAATGCGACAAGCGCACCCATGAGCGGCGACACATGTACCGTCACCCACACGCTCCGAGTGTCCTGTTTCAATCCGCGAGTACTGTACACGTGCCTTGCATCAGGTCCGCTGTTGCTGTCTGCGTCGAACGCCACTGCTGCCACCATACTCCCGTTCTGGTTTCTTCCAGGTCTTGCGAGAACGTAACGCAGTAAGCGTTGCGTTACGTACGAAGCGTCTTGTTTCGGGCGTACGCGTGCATCTCGAATCGATACGTTACGTGCTGCACATGCGCAGTTATCTCCCGTGTCTGTGCAGCGTACGTGGGCTCGTTACGTGCGCACAACTAAAAGTGTCCATTGAAAACGGTGACGTTTTAAGGCGGCTTCCGCGACTACTAATGCATCAGACATACATATTCATGTTTATTCTTCAGCAATGATGGAATTATTTTACCGCAAATAGGAGCAGCAACCGCGATTTAAGCGGCAGGGCAAGAACGATAGGACATGCACAAGGAGAAGTGCACTCGTTATTTTACGCGATGACTGCATGTAGTAATTTGTGGTGTTTTTTTTTCACTGCTCCTTGAATCATGCACCGTAAGGAACAAGTCCACAATCCTGCTATAACGAGTTAAAACCAAACGTGGGTAGCACAAAGTCTCTTTGTCCCACTAAAGTAAAAGTGGTAGGCAAATGAACGGCTGTGAAGGCTTACTTCGGTCAGTGAAAAGCCAAAATGCACAGTCGTCAGCAAGCTTAACACGAACGCTATGCAGCGTGTCCTGAAACAGTTTGACGCTAGTGCCGTGTAGCTTGAGTTCTTTTGACGAGATGCTACCCAAAGACGCCGACATACTATCCAATCATACTGCGGTATTATCTAGGCACCCAACGCTTACGGCTGGCGTCAGTCAAACCAGATCATGTAACGCTACGGAGCGTTCGAGTTAAGCTTGCTACCCACTGTAGCTTTTCTCAAAGCACGTAAACTTTACCAATCGCGAACGGTGAAGTAACGCCCATTCACAGCATTAGCTGAAAAGGCATTACTTGCTTGAGAACTGCGCTGGTTACCAGCGAATAACGTTACAAACAACAGACGTTGGTATTTCGCTGTGGCAGCGGTCGCCAAGTATAAATATTTTGTACATTTACAGTGCGTCAAAAGATTATCAAGAAATAAAGCATGTTTACTTACGTCTTCGTGCATGCGTCGGTATGTGAGAGGAGTCGTTTCTTGTTGCCCTCTAACGTGCCCCCAGAATAAAAATTTCAGAGAATGCCGGGACTGCAGGCAGCGTCTTGCTGTTGCTTCTCGCCGTTGCAACTGTGTTGAACTTGCCTGCCTTGCCTCAAGCCAAGAACCATTGAAACGACGAAATCAAAGGGGCACGCGTGGCATGCTTGTCAAATCAAGCGGAAACTAGCATTCTTCGATAACAACGCCGGCATTCGTTATCTGTCATGACCACGTGATCGTGACAACGCCGCAGCCGAGCTAGACAGCCCACGTAAGCGTCACTTCCTGGCTGGGCAATTTATGTCACTGTAGCATGTTTCTCTGTTCATGCTTTCTGTGCAGCGCGTTCTTTATGTCCTTACTTTTTCTATGAGCTATCACAAAGAAATGGGCCAGTTAACTGGGCACCGTCGCAGATACACGATGTACTGTATGGTCCACTGTTAAAGGGAACACGGAAGCTGGCAGCCGGCGTGCCGCGTGGCGCTAACTGGCCCCGGGATTTGTGAATGCGGCGCATGCGCATAGAATCCTTAAAGCCGTGCGCGCCCATTTTCATCTGCTATGCCAAAGATAGCTATACTTCTCCGCATGTGCGCACAAAATCGTGGGAAAGCGCTCTGTATCTAGCTGTTGGTCCACCTGCTGCTCGCCAGATTATCAGGAAGCACGAAAAATGGCTGCTTTTATTTATTTTTGCAGTTTTCAGCTAGCTGGTCATATTCCGCCCGTCATAACTTTTACTTACAAGCTTGCTAGAACTGGCCACTTTCGATAGCAGATAAGGCTATGCTGCGCACATTCTACGCTTGCTTTTGCCACCATGAAATATCGGCTTAATAAAAAGCGAAAGTCCGAGTTGGGAACAATTGATTTACAGTTGCGAAAACAAAATGCGCGAAAGGTCATGGCTCACTAGCGCACGCCGGTTGCATGGCTGAAAAAGTAGCAGACGAGGCGGGCCATGCACCACCTTGATGAACCAATGCGCATGCGCCGCATTTCAAAATCTCTCCAGCCGTTAGCGCTCCGCTGACCACGCACTCGCGTGTTCCGTGGACCGTTCTGTAGTACATTCAGACATAAATGTTTGTGGACCACTCCATCCAGCAGTGACCCGAGTGGCCTGCCGGAATGTAAATCTGCTGGGTACAGCTTGGCATGTCAAACTTTTATTCCAGTGCATGGCATCACTACCTCATTGTCTCGACGCAGGGCACTGTCTGCATTAAAACGACGGTATATCCGCCTTGATATCGTGGCTTGTCTCGACAGGTCTGCCAGTACGTAGAGAAGCATAACTTTAACCAATCGTTCCACCAATTTTCACATGTGAATACATAAGGACCGTTGGCGAAGGCATCGCATCCCTAAGGCCCCGCCTTCACGCAGACGGCACCCCTGAGAAATCGGCAGTCGCCCTTTTCTGTTCCCCTCTCCCCTGATCACCTTAATTCTCTTTTTTGTCATCTTTCCCGTCTTCTCTCTTCAAGTTATTCTTTTTCAGGTGGCATTAGTTAACATTACGAGTGTGCCTTCTCTAGGGCAGATTATATAGCACATGATAGTGCTATTAATAGACAGATTAGAGTGGCTATGTACAGCTGGTCATGGCAAGTCTTATTATAAGTGTTCTGGCGCCCACGTGTTGGGCTCAACGGCCGGCGGCTGGCTTGGTTTCTGAAAATATTTTCAATTCTACGGCCTCCAGATTTTTCTCGACAGAATGATGATGGGCACATCGATTAAAAACAAAAGTATTCCTGCACACAGTAGACATTTTCCCCGATTCCACGTCATTTACTTTAAGACAATTGACAGGAATGCCAGACTGATCTCCCCCTTTATTGTGTCAAAAACCTTCACTAACACACCCTGACAACGCTATGGGGCTGCTAGAGTGGCCAGTGGGAACCTTCATCTTAAAGCACAAAACAAGAAGCAACATGAAGACATCTCAAAACTTGTCTCTTTGAGAAGCACTCCTGTCTGTTTCAATAATAACATACCAATCCCTGAACAGCTCCCGAGGTGTAGTATGTGACCAATATCTTTTTGAGTTATGTGAGAATGAGCTCCTTGAGGATTCGAATGAATATCATGTACAAATTTAGCATACTTACTTTGTAAATCTTGCCGAAAAGCATGTCGGCGACCCCAAAGAATTCTGGAAATTTGTTAGGTCTAACGGTAAACATGATACTTCCATTCCTTCCTTAAAGAACACCTAAAACCATAGTTGGTGATAATAACGATAAAGTGAAACTACTTAGTAATTTTTTCTCATTCAGTGTTCCGGCCGAAACTCTCTCGAATCGTTAAGGTGACCTATCAGACTGACATTAACCCAATGCCTGAGGTTTTAACCGGTGTAGATAGTTTGCGTAAGTTATTACAGAAAATGAAGCTGTCCCCTGCATGCAGGTCCGGATAATTTTCCGGCAGATATATTCTTAAAAATTGTTCTGCGATATTGTGATCCTACTTTTCTCGTCTACTTCAGAACTGTTAATCTGAGGCTTCATTGCCGCATGATTGGAAGCTGGCACGTGTTGTACTGATTCACTAAGGTGGATCGAGAAATGCCGTTCACAACTACAGGCCGGTATCCTTGACAATTATAACATGTAAACTAATGTAGCACGTAATTTATACTTTGATCATGTCACATTTAGTGAAAAACAACCTTATAAGTTCTATAAGTTCTTGTCAGCATGGTTTTCGATGAGGTTTTTTATGCTCACTCACCTCGTTGAGTTTCTTCACGATCTGGCTTCAGCGTTAGATGACACGCAAATAATAAACTGCATATTTCTTGATTTTAGAAAATTGTTTGATGTATTTAGCATAATCTTCTCATCTCGAAACTACAATATTAAAAGTTAGATGATAGCGTTGTCGCATGGGTTGCCAAGTATCTTCGTGCAAGGTGGCAGTCTCGTGCTCAATCGTGTCTCTTTTGCATATGCTCCACTAACTTTGGCTTTTCCGCAGAGATAGGTTTTGGGTCCCCTTTTGTTTTTGCTTTTCATTAGCGATATTGTAAATGATGTCAATTCATCATTTAGAATGTTTGCGGATGAAAGTGTGATTTATAAAGTTCTGCATAAAAAGAGTGATATTACTTTACTGCCGGCTGGATTAGACACTATAAGGTCATGGTGTGATAATAGGAAATGTCAATAAATCCTCAAAAAGTGTGTTCACGTCACCTTTTCAAATAAATACAAATTTCAGTCCTGCAAATATACGCTGATTAATATGACCTTCAAGAAAGCTGAAGAATATAATCATCTAGGTATTTTTATAACGTCTGATTTGAAGTGAAATAGACACATTTGGTACATAAAAAAAGCAACAAGTGCACTGGGTTTTCTTCGCCATAATTTTCAGTCAGTTACCGCATAAATCGAAAGAGCGATTGTCTTTCACGTACGTTCGCAGCATACTTAATAGCATCTTGAAATAGTGCAAAATAAGGCAGTTCGGCTTGTACTCAACAGTTACCGAACATTAGGCATCACGGAAAGCAAACGTAAATTATCATCGCAGGTTTTGCAAGATCAGTGGGAAAACCTTAGACTCAAATTTTTTTCATAGTGTAAATATTCCCAAACCATCAATGAGCGAGAAAAGTATATTATGTTACCCCCAGAAGTGACCATGCAATGAAAGTTTGCGAATTCCCTGTTAAGGGTGACGTTTTCAGGTATTCTTTTTTTTTGTAGGAGCCATTAGAAAATGGAATGTCCTATCGCCAGATATTGTAAACATTTCGGACAACGATGTATTTTACCACGCTTTGCGAGTGTGTTTACCGTAAAAAACTTTGTATGTAACCCATCTCCCCCCCCCCCCGCTGCAATAGCCAATGGCGCGTGCAGGTATGCAATAAATAAATAAATAATGTCCCACATGTAGAGATTCAAACTCCATCGTGACGACAAAAAATACAATGCACCTGATTGTTACATTTTTCACAAGCAGCCTACCAGAATATCTCGAAACAGAGTACCTGAGGCTAGAGGTCAGAACACATATTCCCAATCTGCGGCGTTGCAATAATTGTCAACGTAGCGGTGACGGCTCTCTGGTCTGCCGTGGTCGTCAAACCTGTGGCAAGTGCAGCTCAAATGGCCGCACTGCAGACAACTGTATGGAAACGCCCCACTGCGCAAGCTGCGATGGTGAGCATCCAGCATATTTTCGCACCTTTCCTGCGTGGAAACATGAAAAAGAAATGCTCACTCTCAAGAAAAAAGAAACATCTCCTTTAGGGAGGCGTGATACTTTCCTTTATTAAGCAGGGTCTGTCGTTCGCGGACATGGCACGCAATAGGCAGTGCTACAAAAGTCCTCAGCGCCCACACGTTTGCCGCCAAATAGACGGGTGGTAGCACCATCTGCCCCCTCAGCACCAGCAGCACGTGCTCTTCCGCGACTAAAAGACTTCCAGACCTCGAGATCTGCAGCCCCAGGGCCTTCTGTTCCCCCAGAAAGCCATAAGACAACAACGCCCGTACGTGTTAACCACGAGTGGGCAACCAGCACCTCTTCTGAGGTGATGGAAACGATAGAACGTCCAATGGTGTCTCTGGCGCAGAAGGGCAAGTGCAGCTGGTTGGAGCACACTAGAAAGTCAAAACTTAAAAACATTATCATAGAGCCTGACAAGGGTTCCCGACTCAAGGCAATACTTCGTTTAACAAATGCAACACTCATTTACATTGATAATGCATACACAAAAAATACTCAATGGAATGTCAGATGACTGCTTTGAAATCTCGATGATACTCATAATCGTTTACACAAACATTCACCAAAAGTGCTGTGTTTCAAAGAAACACACCTAAAGTTCAATAACACCAACTATCTACTCTATTATGTTATATTCAAAGTACCGCGATGATGTTGTAGCGCCATCTGTTGGCGTGGCTATTAGAGTTGACCACGGCGTAGCGTATACACACCTACCCAATACAAACTCCCAGTGAGGCAGTGGTCGTTCAAGCAGTTCTCTTGAACAAAGCCGTCTCCATCTACTCTATTTACATCTCTTAAAAAACGTCAATCTCAGTCTTTAATAGAATAACTACCAAACTGATGCGGTACTTGGGGACTTGAATGCACATAGAAGTATCTGGGCTGATTCTCACTGCAATGGACGAGATACCCTAACTGAACAGCTCCTGTTCTCATCAGGTGCTTCTGTCTTGAATGCAGAACAGCCCACATATTACA